CTCATTTCAGTCCTCAAAGAATATGTAGGGGTAACCTAAATAACCTCCCTGGCAAGATCAGGACATGGTCTGATTGGCATTCACACTAGTGACTGCTCTCTGTATGAAAGATGAAAAAAACAGTCTATAAGGCATCTTATAACTGCCAGTTTACACCAGCTGCTATTTACCTTGGGCTTCTGGGATCTCCAGTTCTCACTGTGAAGTGGCATACACAAGCAACGGACTCACTTTAAGACATTTGGTGGCTTCCATTTTGTTTTAAAACATCATGCCATAACATACACAAAAATTATGTATAGGTCCTGTATCGCTGAAAGTGGATAGAAAAATTTGCCCATTCTGGAGTCTTGCCCAGTAAGGCTGAGAAGGTAAGCTAGAGCTACCAGTCCCCCAAAGCAGCTTATATATTCTTCTTGACATATTTTGCTTCTTATTTGACCTGAACTACTGACAACTACTCTTGTCTTCTACTTGCATGCTCTAGATCTGGCACAACTCTCAACTCCATAAACCTTGCTATTCATAAATTTCTGCAATATGTAGTTGAGCTAGTTGATTTTTCTCTTTTTCTGTCTTGTTTCTTAAAAGTTTAATGCAGACTTGGACTGTCTTTTAACCTTTCCACTGATTAGCCTGAACCTCTAGATGTCAGTTTCCTAGATAGTCAGGGTCTTGCTGCCCAGCCAGTGTCCTTTCCTGCCAGTACCTTGCTTCTTCCTGATAGTTGCCCTGGTAAGCAGCTGCTTTCTCATGTCAGAAGTATTTTCCAGATCTGGCACTTAAAAATTATCAAGACGTGACCAACATCAATGAGCAGCAAAAATAAATTATTTTGAAAATGTTTCTTCATTATGTAGAAATATTTATCAGTGAGATTCTCTTGGTGACAAGTAATAGAAGTTTGCCTTTCATTTCATGAGCAGAGTTGCTAATATAACATAAGATTCTTTGGGTATCCCATGAAACTTAAAAGCAAAGAAATGCATAGAATCAATGAATAATTTTATGTAATACGGTAATTTAAATTTTATCAGTATCCTCACTGCTTGTGTTTTGAGATTCTGTGGTTAGCATATTTCTTCCTTCTTATTGTAAACCGGCTTTTTCCACATGGAAGAAAATGTAATATAACAGAAAAACCACTTGACTTTATTGTTTGGGTCACCTAAGAAAGACTGCTTTTCTTAATCCTTTATAGTTTCAAAAATGCCTGCTCAGATTTGCTCAGACATAAAGACAAGTCTTGAAGCTTCTGATTAAAAGGAAGTTTGTTTTTTCAGATTTGTTGTAAGTTTCTTTCCGGTGAATGGAAATAAGCTTAGTGAAAAGGAAGTCTGGAATCTGCCAAGTCACCAATTTGACTTTAGGCCTTCAATTAAAAGGATAGCTACTGTGGAGAGAGGGCATGTGTGCAGCGTGGAGAAAAACTTGGAGGAAACCATCAAAGTAAACAGGGAATTGGTATTTAAAACCCAGAAACCAAACTATATCAAACTAGAATTGATCTTTCATGGCTGCAAAAGTTAAAAAAGAAACCAGAGTCTGCTAAACTAACTACCAAGTGCTCAGAGGGGTGCACTCATGGTTCATGCTTATAATTCTACTACATCAAGTTGCTGGCACTTTGGAGTTTTAGTTTGTGCTGATATATGTGCCACTGAGTGCCTAATATAGTCCAATAACCTTCTGGAAAAACAGTCTGTGTAGGGCCGTGAGGGTCTTACTGCAGAGCAAAGGGAGGATCTACAGAGGTGCTAGTCTAACAGCACAGCATGTTTTTCATAAGAGCCCATCATGACATCTCATACCAGTGACTGCCAGGGATTGCCAATGTCCAACTTACATATACTGTGCATACGTACAATCCCCACATCCTGTTTGTTCATACATTTTATTGAAGTTTAGAAATGTAAACATTAACATTAACCGTGGCTTTTGGCTATTTTCAACACTGAAAAGAAGCAGTGAGCATCTATAGAACAAAAATCACACATAACCTAGATCTTATACATGTACTTCAACATTCACTGAATTCAAATCCTTCAGTTTGAAAATTATAATTATTGTTTTATAAAAGCTGAATTTAACGATGTTTTATTGACAAGATAAAGAAAAAAGCTGGTATGGAATACTTAAGAAAATACCCAGGCATATTGATGACTTAGGTTTTGGGGTTATCTTAGAAATGTTCTACAAAGTTTGCAATTACTTATTACTTTCCTTTATATCTTCACTTATACTTTATCACTACACTTAGTAATTTCTAAGTATTTATTGAGTTCTGTGTGTATATCCAAATACTAAGGAGAAGTATATGATGCCTGTCAATTTTAAAATATAGAGTCTTTCTGGAAAGACCAAAATTACATATAGGAAATGGAAAATAGCAGCATAAACAGAAGTTTAAAGGGTATTACATTAGAAATGGACTTATAGCTGGTGGTACACTCCTATAATCCCAGCACTCAGGAGGCTGAGGCAGGAGAATGGCTGTCAGTTCGAGACCAGCCTGGGCTACATAGTGAGTTCCAGGTCAGTCTCAACTGCATAGTGAGACCCTGTATCAAAAAAAAAAAAAAAAAAGAAATGGACTTCTATAGTTTGTTTCAATAACAATATAATCTATATAAAGAGACACAAAAATTAGATTAACACCTCCAATCAATATGTATTTATTGATCAAAGCTATACTTAAAAATAGGGGAAAGGCAAATATTGAATATGATATTTAGGGTTTTCAGTTTATTCAAGGATAGCACAAATCACTTTCATGATTAATAGGAACCAAAATAAATTATAGGAGAGATATCATTGAACTAGAAACATAAGAAAAAAATCTCTTAAGAATTCACCAGATTCCTTTTGAACAACTAACTCAATATCTTGAGGTATCTTTTGCCTTTGAGGTGGTCTTTGCTTCATTTGAATCTCCTATTATGCTCTTCAAAGGAATCTTTTATCAAGATACTAGATCATTAAACAACTTAGAAAAAAGTGAATTGTGATGTCTCCAAGATCAATCACTATTCAAATTTCAATTATCATTTTCCCTAAACTCCTTTTTTTTAATCAGTGGCATAAATATAGTTCCACCAACTCCTGATAATCTTATCCCTTGTCAATATGGTGTTTTGGTGATTCAATGAATTCTATTTAAATCATTATACATATTTAATAAATGATAACAATTGTTATTATTAATTTTAACATATTCTAATGAGGCCTCCTAAGTGCAGTTGTAGCCACTAACAGCATTGAGATCTCTGAATTACAACAGCTCACAAATGGTCTAACAATCTATCCTTACAGTAGTCTATCTTTAGCTACACTTACTAATATTATTTAACATTAATTCTAAAATTTAGTTTATGAAGCACATTCAGAAATATCATTTCACTTGATCTTCATCCTTTTTGGAAAGTGGTTATTATTATTTCCATCCTGTAGAAAAATAAAATACACTAGAGAGGCTTAGAAGACATACCCTACTAGAATCATACCGCCAGAAATTTGGTAAGGCCCCAAATCATACAATCAAGAAGTTGCTGAACCAATGTTAAGCCCAGGTCATCTGATTACAAATGTCGTATGCTTAATTTTACACCAAGTGCCTCTCAATAAACTCTGTGTGTGTATGTAGAAGGTACCTCTCAGGGATGATTATAAATATATCATGAATGCTTAGTTGGTCTACTATTTAGATACATCAACCAAGTTTATGTTCATTATTATCAGTGTTGTGTGTTAAGACTTGGAGTTTTGTAAGACTTGCTGAATTTCCTTTTAAAAAGAAACATTTGATTAAGATTCTATAGGCACAGATTGGCATTAAAAGGCTGTTAACTCTGTTAATTCCAGAAGGGCACACCTAATAAAATGTCGCAGAAGTTGAGCACTTGCCAAACACTGTTGCACAGGACAGTTCTCGATTAATCATGATGAAAGTATTTCCTCCATCTAAATGAGATCTGTAATTTGGGATGGAGATTAAAGGTCCTTTGGGGATGAAGGGAAAAGTGCTGTGAAAATTCTAGAAACTAGAAAATAAAGATAGTTCTGCTCAATATTCATGAAGTCAGATTGGTGATGCAAATAGAGATTGCAGTCTCTTATTTTCTAATGAATTGGTTTGTAGCATTCCTATAACAGTTTTACACAGATTTCTACTCAACGTTAAAAGCAATTGCTTCAAATTATACAAAAATTTTAAAAGAAACATTTAGCATATCCAATTTGATTTTCCAGCATCTTGAAATTAATTTTAATTTCCATCTAAGGTCTTTTAATGTATATGATCATAGATACAACAAAGAAAAAAAACTGACATGACACAACATCCATAATAGGCAAACATATACATAAGATATCAAGATGTGAATGCTGGGCTGGGGATTTAGCTTTGTGGTTCCACTGCCTGCCTTGCAAGCACAAGGATCTGAGTTCAATCCTCAGTACAAAAAATACATATGTGTGTGTGTGTGTGTGTGTGTGTGTGTGTGTGTGTGAATGCATGAATGCTTACTGCATTGAGTACAGCATACTTCTAAAAGGCCATTCAAAAAAATTAGCTATAAGGTTGTCAAATTTAAGTTTGATTCCTTGTGAGTGAAACCAAAATTTCCTTAGCTATCTCCTTTTGTAAAGAAATGTTACACGTTTTAACTCTCATCCAAATTATTAGAAATCCTTAAATCTCATTCACAGTATAAATCCTCACCTCCTACACTGTTGTGTGGAATTTAAGAGAAAGTGAATGTAAATTCTATGAACACTTACTTTATTTCATTATGTAGTAATATAGCAAACAAATATTTGAAGTGGGGGAAGGTGTGGAACCCTGAGTCATTTTAATTAGCCTCTCAACAGCTGCTACAGTGCCCATGAAGGAATTCATGAAATACTGTAGTTGTTTAGTTCTTTGCTGAATAAATTAACAGTCTCTCTATTTTAGAGTATATTATTTGTTCTTTAACTTTTTTCTTAATTCTCTCTTTTAGGCCAGCCCTGCTCCTATAATTGTCAACACAGATACTTTGGACACGATTCCTTATGTAAGTAACATTTTTATTAAGATTTTATTTAAAAACTATGGTAAAATGTAATTAGCTGAATTTCAATACATAATCAAAATTTGATATGCAATCATTTCAAACCAAACTAGATAATCTTATGGAATGAAATGAAATATGCAATTACTTTTGCAAATTTTCTTTTGATATATCCTGAATCTTGGCTTAGACATGCCTAATATTTCCTCCTTTCAATTGTGTTTTATGAAGCACAGGGGTCCAAAATGAGAAAAAAAAATATGTATAAATCTTTTCAAGTAATTTTAGTTTGCTATGTGGTTTGCTGGATAGTAGTTGAAATTTTGCTGGCATACATGAACAAATCTTTTTGAGTTTCTTACTGAAGGAGCACTCAAGTCAATTTTTGTGCCTGAGTCTCGAATATGTGTGATCAATAAACATTTAATGGGTTTCATTGGGTTTCCAGCAAAAGTTGTAAGAAAAGTTTTGTGAAGATGAAATTTACTTACATATAATGAAATGCATGATTACACAAAAGTGTGGAGCATGAGATTATAGATGGGGCAGACCAATGAAGCCTAGAAGTCTGTCATGCACCCACTATGGCCAAAGTTCTTGATGACAGACACTGGTTTGGAGAGAAGGCCACTGTAGCAATGGGCTACGGTGTGGGTAAGTGGTTGACATTTTGGAGGTTCCTCCAGGCTTTGTGAATGGGCCCTTGCTGACGGTGGAGGTTACTGATCAGAAAAGAAGAGGTAGCCACAGATCATGCAGACAAATAGTGAAGGAAGGCTACAGGACAATGGATAAGAACAGAGTCTTGTTTTTTGATTAAGAAAAGTTTGTGAATTACTTAAAACAGTACGTGGCACAAAATGAGTGCTTGGTAAATGTTTTCAGATTTAAACTCCAACCTCAAAGGTCTATAGGCACCAGTGAAATCACAAGCACAGATCCAGGAGTAGAGACTGTAGAGAATAAAAAGTACATGACCCTCTAAAGTTACCAGCTGCTACTTTGGGATCAGTGTTGCCAAACCATCCCATTTTTAAAGAAATTTGAATTTTAATGTAAGTGTTCAAAAGTTTATACAAGTAGGCAGATACCTTTCAACAGTTCAAACACAGAACATTCCTAGTCCATAGAGCCCCTTGCAGGTGATGTCATCATCAAAGAAACTGAAGATTTTTGAGCAGATGCTGCACAAGCCAGGACTCAGCCACAGGGGACCAGAGTGCTAGAACTGGAGTACAAGGTTGGGACTTGATTACAGGGACAAGAGATTAAAACTAGGACACAGGATCAGGACAAGAACAATAGCAAGCTGGGCCTAATACTGAATCACCTGAATTACTGACCTAGAGCTTCTTCAGCCTTTCTGAACAAGAATGGTTAGAGGGCAGGCCAGAAATGGCATTAAGCTTACTGGTAGGAAGGAAGTAGCTTCAGCCATGGAAAATTAAGGGGTGTGTAGAAGGAAACAAAGCAATGTATTAAACACAGCTAGGGCCTTCTTATTCTATCATCTTCCTACCTTCTTTTGCCTATCAAGCATTTAAATTGTAATTACTATATGCCTACTATTGCTTTGAGCGCCTAATGCAAGTTAACTCATATAATCCTCATGAAAATTCTATGAGGTAGATATTATTTATCAATTTTGTAAGTGGAAAAACTGAATCTTAAAGATGTTGAATAACTGGCTCAAGGACTCCCTGTAAGATGTAAGTGTGAGCCAGGAGTAAATACAGATAGATTGGCTACAGAGTTTAAGGACTTACTTAACTCCTATTATATTGATACTTACATTTTTTTTCCTCTCCGCCTTGTTTTCTGCCTCTCAGCTAGAGAACAAAGTTCACTCTTTTTATTTCTCTACTACATATAGATTTATTTGTGTGGAAGACAACTTGTTACAGAGGCTTTAACACACTTGGGAGGAGGATTTAGATACAGAGTACATTAAGGAATCCTATATTCCAAGCAAATCTCTTTTTTTATTACCATTGACAAAATGAGCAGTCTTTACAGAAGAAGACATGGAGCACAGAAGCTTGAGTTTGCAAGCAAGACCACTTCCTTGTACTATGTCTGTACCATGCCAAAGCTACGTTAGGATTCTTCTGATTCAACTATCAGATTCTTCCTTATAAATATCACTTATTAGTAGGATCTAAGGATCTTGAACAAGCATGGGTATCTGAATTAATTAATCAAATCAGTCACATAATAACAAGTTACTAGAGTCAAATTGCTCCCATTCTCCTAAATATCAACTTTGTACTTGACTTTAATTTTTCAAAGCTTTTTGCTTAATCTTTAACTTTTTACACTTAGTGCAGCCTTCTTTTTGCCTAAGAGATCTTTAATAAAATGTATTGAACAGCTTGGTGTGATGAAGACGTGCCAATTTTTTTCGCAGTGTGGTCTTAAGCAGTTCTTTAGTCTCTCTGAACCTATTTTAATTATAAGACAGAAACTATAATACCTACCTCAGAGGTTGTTATGAAAATCAAATGTATTTTGTATATGCAATCAGACTTTAACTTCTGGTTGACAGCAGATTTTTGTACTTATTATCTTCTTTCATATAGAATTGGTAGAATATATTAGCCGTTGAGATCAGGACATTTAGCATACAGCCATTAATGCCAATAGTTGCTGTCAGTTGCTCTCATTGCCCCAACTCTCCCCGTTTTCACTGACTCACTGGGTAACCTTGAACAAATCAGTGTTCCTTTCAGTCTATTTTCTATTTTCTCATTCCCCAGTGTTCTATACTTTGTTTTCCTCTTTCTTTCTCATGTTCTAGTTGTTCACATAATTTCAGCTCTATTTAATGGAAAAATGATTTCAGCGTTCCCCAGAGCATTTTAGTCATGTTGCATCAGAACATTTCCTTCCCGAAAAGTATTACCTGAATGACAGATTGTAATTTATAAATATGATGTTATTACAAGTAAGTGTACTAATTTTGATGGTTAGCAATTTTTATTTTAGATATAAATGCTTCTTATGGAAACAGTTCCTTGGCACACAAGCAAAAAGCAAATAGTTAAAGGAAATTTCCAGGCCCAGGGGATTTTTATGTAAATGTCCAATAAGGATACAAAAAATGTTTAAAGGAATTTCTACTCTTTTTTAGGAAAATAAATTAAGGGACATTGGATCCCTCCCATTAGTTAAAACATCAATAAGGTTACATATGAATGTCTCAAATAAACTCAGTTTTACTTAATGTCACATTTTAGATATGCGTAGGACCTTGCATGCACCACCACCCTACCTATTGTGCAAAAGCACAAGCCTTCTATAGTCTCCGGTCTCACTTGAAGAGGGAGAGAGAGACAGACAGACAGAAACAGAGACAGAGACAGAGAGAAGGGGGAGGTGGAGAGGACAGGGACGGAGAAGAGAGATAGGAACCCAGACAGTGACAGAGATAGATAGTTCAAAGTGAGTAAAACCTTCTTGTGACCTCGAGTAGCACCCTAAAGTTTGGCTTAATTAAATGGGCAACATGTTACCCTTATGAGATTCTGTGGCAAACTGAGATGCTGTCCTCCCTCAACAGACTTCTTCCCTTCCTAGACGTGTCACAGTTCCACTGAGCCCTATCATAGCCAACCCCATTCTTTTGCTTTCTAACAATAGAATTAGCCAGAGAGATTCTAGAATGCCTTTCTTTTTTCTCCCCAGCCTTCTCTAGTATTTATTTCATAGTTTGGCAACTTTCTGAAAACATTTTGTGAAGAATGATACACGTGAGAATCACAAGATTTAAATATTATTAAGGAACTCGGGGCCTAAGTAATGCTAATCTCTCATTTCTTATGGTTATTCTTGTTCAGCTGGTAAATGGGAACCTTTGGTCAACAATTTACTGCTACCATACAGTCAAGGTAACAAACAACCACAAAATCAGTGGCATATAGCAAGGAGCATTTATTTCTCTTGTGTGTTTGACAGTTGGCCTGGCCAGCCGCATCAAGCTGTGAAGTGTTAGGTTGTCCTAGGCCTCTCTGCTTCATGTTTCACTCTAGGGGCTTAGAGGTAGGGCAGAAGCCAACCTGGGGATGTTTTATGTTGTGATAGCAAAGCATAAGTGTCCAAACCCATGACAACACACAGCCCCGCTCATGTTAAATTCAGTAACATCCAGTTGGCCAGAACAAGTCATGCTGCCAAGCTCCAACTACAAGGAATGAATATTTGATGAACAGAAACTGTAATACCACACCATTGCCTGAAATAAAAATACTAATAGTCTGTGAGCAAAAGGCACAAAAGTTACAAAAGCTCTTTAAAAAACATTGGCAGGTCAGTGACACTAAACAAAGTGAGAAACAGCCTATTCAACTGTTAGGGGGAGTAAAAATTTTGTTTTCACAGGTAGAAATGACTGTGCAGACAAGGCCAGAAGTTCTAGGACTATTGCTTGAAAAACCTCCCAGGAGAGCCGGGTGTGGTGGCACATGCCTGTAATCCCAGCACTCCAGATGCTGAGGCAGGAGGATTGCTATGAGTTCGAGACCAGCCTGGGCTACATAATGAGTTCCAGGTCAGTCTCAACTACATAGTGAGACCCTGTCTCAAAATAATAATAATAATAATAATAACCTCCCAGGAGAGTGACAGAGTGAATGAAGTGGGAAAAAAGGGGGACAAAAGAAGAATTTGGTTCCAAAGGATATGAGAGTATCCTTAGTATGATCACCCCTAAGATTGGCTTACGAAGAAGGTCACTCATGTAAAGGTTACTTAAGAACAATAGCAATAGGCTTGTAGTATCAGCAGTGAGATTTGAATAGAATGCTTCGAACACAACCATGGTTCTGGGGAAGAAGACAAAAAAGTTGCTACTAAAAATGAATTGGAAATGTGAGTGGAAGTTAGTAAAGAAGAGGGATGAGAAGAAATAGAGGATGCCATGGGTTCAGGAACATAAAGAAGAAATTGCATTAGCAGTGAGGTTCACCTAGGAGCCAAGAATGGGCTTTAGACTGAGGTGTTGCTAA